CGCCGGCTGCAGAAAAGCAAGGCCAAAGTTACGTTCGGCCCAACCAGCTGCCGTGCAAAGCTTGGGAAGTTGCTGCTGTGGAATTTGGAGGAGAAGAGCAGCTGCATCAAGGACTTGTGGCAGCTGCCCATCATCCCTTGGAAGGGGAAACCACCAGCAACGGCAAAGGCAGCGCCAGCGGCTAAAGCAACAGCGGGAGGAGAGGAGACTGCACCAACTGATGGGGCCCTGGATGCAATCAAGAAGGTGCAGCAGCCACAACAGCCACATGGTGAGGTGCTTGCTGGTGTGGATGCGACAGCTGCATGGGCAAAGGCTTCATCTGGGAGTGGTGAGGCTGATTGGGAGACGTGGCATGAGAGGCTGTGCCATGTGAACATTCCTATGCTGCAGAAGTTGGTAAAGGATGGGTGCTTGAAGGGGCTGGAGGTGAAGGGGGGAGCAAAGGAGATTGGGAGCTGCCCTACCTGCCTTGAGACCAAATTCACGAAGTTTCCCTTCAGCAGCAGCATAGGACCAGCAAAGGCACCACTTGCACTAGTGCACATGGATGTGGTGGGCCCCACGAGGGCCCTTTCTCTCTCGGGCAGCCGCTACTTCTTGACAATTGTGGACGACCACACGCGTGCGGTGTGGGTGTACCCTCTCAAGACTAAGGGGGAGGTGGCAGCGGCTTGTTATGTGATGCTATCATTTTCATTCACGTCTGTCTGCCTCCCATCATGTGTTCGTGCGTTGCATGTGTGAAATGAGCGTGCGCAAGAATTTGTGTTTGATGCAATTTGGATTTTCTGAGTGTGTGTGTGAATGTTATTTGGCTTGAGCAGATATCTGAAGTGACTCCACTGCTCAAGATCTTTCCGACGAGCCAAGAATCGTCGCGATCGGAGCAATATCAAGAAAGTTACGAACGTTGGAGTTCGTATGCTTTCTGTACTTCGGTTGTGGCGACTATGGGAAGTTGTGGGGTTGACTCAATATGGGGTACAGACTTTTGGGGGTTGGGAATTCGAACCCATCACTGTAGAATGCTGCCATATGGTTGGGTGAAGCCAAACCAGGTTGGCAAGTGTGGCCAAGTGGGTTGAGGTGGATGGCATGAGTTGGGAAAGTGACAAATGTGAAAGTGGGGTTGCCTATGGGGAAGGGAATTGTGTGGCATGGGGTTTCCTTGGTTGGGGAATCTCTTGGGACCTTCCCTCTCGTCCTCCTCTTCCCTCCTACCTGGTTTAGTGCTACCCTAACTCTCTTGTGTGTAACTTTGTGGAACTTGTGAGAACCATTGTGATTGAGTTAAGCATGTGGCAGCATACCCCCTAGTGCGCCGAAAATCATAACTCGAGATTTACTCCACCATTTGATACGATTCAAATTGGGAAAGATAGCCCTGGTTACAGGCTACCACATACTCGAGTTTGAGACGATTCTAACGGTGCACTTTTCGTCGACAACGTTTCTTGTGAAGTCGACGTTTTCTGTCCAGAATTCTAAGCCAACGATTTTGAGAATTTTTGGCACCTAATCTTCATTGACTCCGTCCTTAGTCTCTAACACGGCTGTTCTTAAGGAGTGGATGCCGAGAGCACAAAGGGAGAGCGGACATAAGGTGAAGGTGATCCGCACCGACAATGGAGGAGAATTCATTGGCGCTGATTTTGAGGCGGTGCTGAAGAAGAAGGGGATCCAGCATCAGCTTACGGTGCCCTACAACCCTCAGCAGGATGGCGTGGCTGAGCGGTTCAACCGGACCCTGCAGGAAGGTGCTCGCACTCTCCTTGGGCGTGCAGGGTTGCCGGATCCGTTTTGGGTGACTGCACTGCGGCAGGTCGCCCTTGTGAAGAACAGGGTGCTGGCAACTGTGGGGGACAAGCAATGGGTTCCCTACACCAAGTGGTATGGGAGTGCACCAGCAGTCAACATGCTGAGAGCCTTTGGCTGTATGGTGGTGTTTCATGTGCCTAAGGAGAAGAGGGGAAAACTGGAAGCTTCTGGGAGATGGGGTGTGCACTTGGGGCTTGCAAAGGATCACAAGGGCTGGCTGATTTGGGACTTGACCAGCCAGCAGCTGACTGTGTCGAGGGATGTGAAGTTCCTTGAGTCCTTGTACTACAAGGAGTGGAAGCAGCAGCAGCAGAAGCTTCCCACTACAACCGCTGATCATTGAGGCTGATGAGGTGCAGCGGCCTTCGAGGCAAGTGCAGGTCACTGTCTCAGAGGAGGAGATTTCTGGGGTGACTGAGGATGGGGGAGAACCTGAGGTGGAGGAGCAGCAGCAGCAGCAGCAGCAGCAGCCGCAGCAGCAGCAGCAGCCACAGCAGCAGCAGCAAGGTGCTCCACAAGGTGCCGCGCGTCCGGCTGACCGTCCCCGGAGGGAAGTGCGCCCTCCTAACCGGCTGACCTATCCGAGCTTTGGCAAGCCAAAGGTGGTACGGGCTGGGAGTGTGGCTAAGCAGTGTGATGAGGATGAGATAGCACACTGCTACTGGGCAGCCGTCCCTGAGCCCAAGACGTTAGCCGAGGCATTGAGCGGGCCCGACGCTGAGAAGTGGAAGCAGAGTGTGAAGGAGGAGTATGACTCTCTGCTGGAGAATGAGACGTGGGAGCTGTGTGAGCTGCCACCTGGGAAGAAGGCCATTTCTTCTAAGCTGATCTTCAGGCATAAGTACGGACCCGATGGGGAGCTGACCCGCTACAAGTCAAGGCTTGTGGCTAAGGGGTTCCAACAGACAAAGGGGAAGGATTTTGATGATATCTTTGCTCCTGTAGGGAAAGGCACTACACTGAGGACGATGTTGGCAATGGCTGCAAACCGTGGCTGGAAGATCAAGCAGATGGACATAATCACTGCATTCCTCAATGGAATCATTCTGGAGGAGCTGTACATGCTGCAGCCTGAGGGGTTGGATGATGGGAGCGGCAGGGTGTGCAGGCTCAAGAAGGCCATCTATGGCCTGAAGCAGGCTCCTCGCACATGGTACCACAAGCTGGAGGAGACACTGCTGGCCGGGGGGTTCAAGAAGAGCGAGTGTGATCACAGCCTGTTCCTGCTGCAAGAGAAGGAGCAGTTCCTCATGCTCCTGGTGTACGTGGACGACATCCTGCTCTTCTCTGAGTCGTCTGCAATGATTGAACGTGTGGAGGAGATGCTGGAAATGCAGTTCAAGTGCTCCAAGATGGGAGATGTGAAGTACTACCTTGGGATGCATGTGGAGAGGGACCTTGACAAGGGAGTGTTGAGGTTGCACCAGAGAAAGTATTGTGAGGGGCTGGCTAAGAAGTATGGGCTGCAAGATGGAGGAAAGCCAGCCACCCCACTGCCTTCGGGGTTCACTGTGGAGCCCTGTGCTGATGAGGAGGTGGTGGGTGAGAGTGACAGGAAACTTCTTCATTCCATGGTTGGGGCACTCAACTATGCGGCTAACCACACACGGCCTGACATTGCCTTTGCAACATCTAGGCTTGCCAGTGTGGTTTCACGCCCCAGTCATGAGCAGCTGGAAGCGGCCAAGAGGTTGGTCCGCTATGTGAGCGCTACAGCGTCTGTGGGTCTGGAGTACAGTGCTGTGAGGCAAAGGCTGCAGAGGGGTGCAGCTGATTTGAGCAAGGGGGAGATGCGCCTGACTTGCTACACCGACGCTAGCTTCAACTCTGTGAAGGCAGATGGCACCAGCATTGGAGGCTATGTGTGCCTCTTTGGAGGTGGTGCAGTGAGCTGGCGCAGCAAGAAGCAGAACGAGGTGGGGCTGTCCTCGTGTGAGACCGAGTACATGGCCCTTCATCATGGGGCAAAGGAGGTGGTGTGGCTGAGGCGTTTGTTGGAGGAAATCGGAGTGTGTCAGAGGGAGCCGACTGTGATTTTCTGTGACAATGAGTCGGCGGTGAAGCTTGCAAAGAATGCCTGTCTTCATGGCTTGACAAAGCACATCAGGCCAAAGTGGCATTGGACAAGGAGGCTCCTGGACAAGGAGGTGCGGCTGGAGATTGTGAAGACCCATCAGCAGGCGGCTGACATTCTCACCAAATGCCTGGCAGAACCTGAGCATTGGAAGGGCATGAAGCTTGCTGGGATGAGTGTGCATTGAGAGTGCATGCTTGAGCTATGGAATGTGGGATGATGGTTGGCAGCCAGAGGGGGAGTTTGTTATGTGATGCTATCATTTGCATTCACGTCTGTCTGCCTCCCATCATGTGTTCGTGCGTTGCATGTGTGAAATGAGCGTGCGCAAGAATTTGTGTTTTCTGTGGTTTGGATTTTCTGAGTGTGTGTGAATGTTATTTGGCTTGAGCAGATATCTGAAGTGACTCCACTGCTCAAGAGCTTTCCGACGAACCAAGAATCACTTCAATCGGAGCACGAACAAGAAAGTTACGAACGTTGGAGTTCGTATGCTTTTGATATTTGGTTGTGGTGACCATGGAGAGTTGTGGGGTTGACTCAATAAGGGGTACAGACTTTTGGGGGTTGGGAAACTCGTCACTACTACTGTAGTTGCTGCCAATTGGTTGGGAGAAACCAAACCAGGTTGGCAAGTGTGGCCAAGTTGGGTTGAGGTGGATTGTGGAGGTTGGGATAGTGACAAAGGTCAAAGTTGGGTTGCCTATGGGGAAAGGAATTGTGTGGCATGGAGTTTTCTTTGGTTGGGGACTCCTTGGGACCTTCCCTCTCGTCCTCCTCTTTCCTCCTACCTGGTTTAGTGCTACTCTAACTCGCTTGTGTGCAACTCTTGTGAACTTGTGAAACTATTGTGAGTGAATTTAATTTCTATGTGGCAGCATACCCCCTGGTGCGCCGAGAAGCATAACTCGAGATTTACTCCACTTTTCGATACGATTCAAATTGGGAATGATAGCCACAAACAAGGGCTATAACATACTCGAGTTTGACGGTGCACTTTTCGTCGACAACGTTTCTTGTGAAGTCGCGGTTTCTGTCCAGAATTTCAAGCCAACGATTTTGAGAAATTTAGGCTCCTAATCTTCACAGACTCGATCCTTAGTCTCTAACAATGAGAGTGGGTGAGAGGGAATGAGAGCGTATGAGAGTGGGTGAGAGGGAATGAGAGCGTATGAGAGTGGGCGAGAGGGAATGAGAGCGTATGAGTGTGGGTGAGAGGGAATGAGAGCGTATGAGAGTGGATGAGAGGGAATGAGAGCGTAAGAGAGTGGGTGAGAGAGAATGAGAGTGTATGACAGTGGGTGAGAGGGAATGAGAGCGTGAGAGAGTGGGTGAGAGGGAATGAGAGCGTGAGAGAGTGGGTGAGAGGGAAGGAGAGTGTGTGAGAGGGGATGAGAGGGGATGAGAGGGGATGGGAGGGGTTGAGAGCGGATGAGATTGGATGAGAGTGGATGAGAGCGTATGAGAGAGTATGAGAGTGGTTGAGAGGGAATGAGAGAGTATGAGAGTGGGTGAGAGGGAATGAGAGGGTATGAGAGTGGGTGAGAGGGAATGAGAGCGTGAGAGAGTGGGTGAGAGGGAATGAGAGCGTATGAGAGTGGGTGAGAGGGAATGAGAGCGTATGAGAGTGGGTGAGAGGGAATGAGAGGGTATGAGAGTGGGTGAGAGGGAATGAGAGCGTATGAGTGTGGGTGGGAGGGAATGAGAGCGTATGAGAGTGGGTGAGAGGGAATGAGAGCGTATGGGAGTGGGTGAGAGGGAATGAGAGCGTATGAGAGTGGGTGAGAGGGAATGAGAGCGTATGAGAGTGGGTGAGAGGGAATGAGAGCGTATGAGAGTGGGTGAGAGGGAATGAGAGCGTTTGAGAGTGGGTGAGAGGGAATGAGAGCGTATGAGAGTGGGTTAGAGGGAATGAGAGCATATGAGAGTGGGTGAGAGGGAATGAGAGCGTATGAGAGTGCGTGAGGGAGAATGAGAGGGCATGAGAGTGGGTGAGAGGGAATGAGAGCATATGAGAGTGGGTGAGAGGGAATGAGAGCGTATGAGAGTGGGTGAGAGGGAATGAGAGCGTATGAGAGTGGGCGAGAGGGAATGAGAGCGTATGAGTGTGGGTGAGAGGGAATGAGAGCGTATGAGAGGGGGTCAGAGGGAACGAGAGTGTATGAGAGTGAGTGAGAGGGAAAAAAAGCGTAAGAGAGTGGGTGAGAGGGAATGAGAGGGTATGAGAGTGGGTGAGAGGGAATGAGAGCGTATGAGTGTGGGTGGGAGAGAATGAGAGCGTATGAGAGTGGGTGAGAGGGAATGAGAGCGAAAGAGAGTGGGTGAGAGAGAAAGAGAGGGTATGACAGTGGGTCAGAGGGAATGAGAGCGTGAGAGAGTGGGTGAGAGGGAATGAGAGCGTGAGAGAGTGGGTGAGAGGGAATGAGAGGGTATGAGAGTGGATGAGAGGAAATGAGAGCGTATGAGAGTGGGTGAGAGGGCATGAGAGCGTATGAGAGTGGTTGAGAGGGAATGAGAGCGTATGAGAGTGGATGAGAGGGAATGAGAGCGTATGAGAGTGGGTAAGAGGGAATGAGAGCGTATGAGAGTGGGTGAGAGGGAATGAGAGCGTGAGAGAGTGGGTGAGAGGGAATGAGAGCGTATGAGAGTGGGTGAGAGGGAATGAGAGCGTATGAGAGTGGGTGAGAGGGAATGAGAGCGTATGAGAGTGGGTGAGAGGGAATGAGAGCGTATGAGAGTGGGTGAGAGGGAATGAGAGCGTATGAGAGTGGGCGAGAGGGAATGAGAGCGTATGAGAGTGGGTGAGAGGGAATGAGAGCGTATCAGAATGGGTTAGAGGGAATGAGAGTGTATGAGGGTGGGTGAGAGGGAATGAGAGCGTAAGAGAGTGGGTGAGAGGGAATGAGAGGGTATGAGAGTGGGTGAGAGGGAATGAGAGCGTATCAGTGTGGGTGGGAGGGAATGAGAGCGTATGAGATTGGGTGAGAGGGAATGAGAGGGTATGAGAGTGGGTGAGAGGGACGGAGAGCGTATGAGATTGGGTGAGAGGGAACGAGAGCGTGAGAGAGTGGGTGAGAGGGAATGAGAGGGTATGAGAGTGGATGAGAGGAAATGAGAGCGTATGAGAGTGGGTGAGAGGGAATGAGAGCGTATGAGAGTGGTTGAGAGGGAATGAGAGCGTATGAGAGTGGGTGAGAGGGAATGAGAGCGTATGAGAGTGGGTGAGAGGGAATGAGAGCGTATGAGAGTGGGTGAGAGGGAATGAGAGCGTATAAGAGTGGGTGAGAGGGAATGAGAGCGTATGAGAATGGGCGAGAGGGAATGAGAGCGTATGAGAGTGGGTGAGAGGGAATGAGAGCGTATCAGAATGGGTTAGAGGGAATGAGAGTGTATGAGAGTGGGTGAGAGGGAATGAGAGCGTAAGAGAGTGGATGAGGAGAGTTTGAGAGGGTATGAGAGTGGGTGAGAGGGAATGAGAGCGTATGAGAGTGGGTGAGAGGGAATGAGAGAGTATGAGAGTGGGTGAGAGGGAATGAGAGCGTATGAGAGTGGTTGAGAGGGAATGAGAGCGTATGAGAGTAGGTGAGAGGGAATGAGAGCGTATGAGAGTGGGTGAGAGGGAATGAGAGCGTATGAGAGTGGGTGAGAGGGAATGAGAGCGTGAGAGAGTGGGTGAGAGGGAATGAGAGCGTCTGAGTGTGGGTGGGAGGGAATGAGAGCGTATGAGAGTGGGTGAGAGGGACTGAGAGCGTATGAGAGTGGGTGAGAGGGCATGAGAGCGTATGAGAGTGGGTGAGAAGGAATGAGAGCGTGAGAGAGTGGGTGAGATGGAATGAGAGCGTATAAGAGTGGGTGAGAGGGAATGAGAGCGTATGAGAGTGGGTGAGAGGGAATGAGAGGGTATGAGAGTGGGTGAGAGGGAATGAGAGCGTATGAGAGTGGGTGAGAGGGAATGAGAGCGTATGAGAGTGGGTGAGAGGGAATGAGAGCGTATGAGAGTGGGTGAGAGGGAATGAGAGCGTATGAGAGTGGGTGAGAGGGAATGAGAGCGTTTGAGAGTGGGTGAGAGGGAATGAGAGCGTATGAGAGTGGGTTAGAGGGAATGAGAGCATATGAGAGTGGGTGACAGGGAATAAGAGCCTATGAGAGTGGGTGAGAGGGAATGAGAGCGTATGAGAGTGGGTGAGAGGGAATGAGAGCGTATGAGAGTGGGTGAGAGGGAATGAGAGCGTATGAGAGTGGGCGAGAGGGAATGTGAGCGTATGAGTGTGGGTGAGAGGGAATGAGAGCGTATGAGAGTGGGTCAGAGGGAATGAGAGTGCATGAGAGTGAGTGAGAGGGAATAAGAGCGAAAGAGAGTGGGTGAGAGGGAATGAGAGGGTATGAGAGTGGGTGAGAGGGAATGAGAGTGTATGAGTGTGGGTGGGACGGAATGAGAGCGTATGAGAGTGGATGAGAGGGAATGAGAGCGTAAGAGAGTGGGTGAGAGGGAATGAGAGTGTATGACAGTGGTTGAGAGGGAATTAGAGCGTGAGAGAGTGGGTGAGAGGGAATGAGAGCATGAGAGAGTGGGTGAGAGGGAATGAGAGTGTGTGAGAGGGGATGAGAGGGGATGGGAGGGGTTGAGAGCGGATGAGATTGGATGAGAGTGGATGAGAGCGTATGAGAGAGTATGAGAGTGGTTGAGAGGGAATGAGAGAGTATGAGAGTGGGTGAGAGGGAATGAGAGCATATGAGAGTGGTTGAGAGGGAACGAGAGCGTATGAGAGTGGGTGAGAGGGAATGAGAGCGTATGAGAGTGGGTTAGAGGGAATGAGAGCGTATGAGAGTGGGTGAGATGGAATGAGAGCGTGAGAGAGTGGGTGAGAGGGAATGAGAGCGTATGAGAGTGGGCGAGAGGGAATGTGAGCGTATGAGTGTGGGTGAGAGGGAATGAGAGCGTATGAGAGTGGGTCAGAGGGAATGAGAGTGCATGAGAGTGAGTGAGAGGGAATAAGAGCGAAAGAGAGTGGGTGAGAGGGAATGAGAGGGTATGAGAGTGGGTGAGAGGGAATGAGAGTGTATGAGTGTGGGTGGGACGGAATGAGAGCGTATGAGAGTGGATGAGAGGGAATGAGAGCGTAAGAGAGTGGGTGAGAGGGAATGAGAGTGTATGACAGTGGTTGAGAGGGAATTAGAGCGTGAGAGAGTGGGTGAGAGGGAATGAGAGCATGAGAGAGTGGGTGAGAGGGAATGAGAGTGTGTGAGAGGGGATGAGAGGGGATGGGAGGGGTTGAGAGCGGATGAGATTGGATGAGAGTGGATGAGAGCGTATGAGAGAGAATGAGAGTGGTTGAGAGGGAATGAGAGAGTATGAGAGTGGGTGAGAGGGAATGAGAGCATATGAGAGTGGTTGAGAGGGAACGAGAGCGTATGAGAGTGGGTGAGAGGGAATGAGAGCGTATGAGAGTGGGTTAGAGGGAATGAGAGCGTATGAGAGTGGGTGAGATGGAATGAGAGCGTGAGAGAGTGGGTGAGAGGGAATGAGAGCGTCTGAGTGTGGGTGGGAGGGAATGAGAGCGTATGAGAGTGGGTGAGAGGGAATGAGAGCGTATGAGAGTGGGTGAGAGGGAATGAGAGCGTATGAGAGTGGGTGAGAAGGAATGAGAGCGTGAGAGAGTGGGTGAGAGGGAATGAGAGCGTTTCAGAGTGGGTGAGAGGGAATGAGAGCGTCTGAGAATGGGTGAGAGGGAATGAGAGGGTATGAGAGTGGGTTAGAGGGAATGAGAGCGTATGACTGTGGGTGGGAGGGAATGAGAGCGTATAAAAGTGGGTGAGAGGGAATGAGAGCGTATGAGAGTGGGTGAGAGGGAATGAGAGCGTATGAGAGTGGGTGAGAGGGAATGAGAGCGTATGAGAGTGGGTGAGAGGGAGTGAGAGCGTATGAGAGTGGGTGAGAGGGAATGAGAGCGTTTGAGAGTGGGTGAGAGGGAATGAGAGCGTATGAGAGTGGGTTAGAGGGAATGAGAGCATATGAGAGTGGGTGAGAGGGAATGAGAGCGTATGAGAGTGGGTGAGAGGGAATGAGAGCGTATGAGAGTGGGTGAGAGGGAATGAGAGCGTATGAGAGTGGGCGAGAGGGAATGAGAGCGTATGAGTGTGGGTGAGAGGGAATGAGAGCGTATGAGAGTGGGTCAGAGGGAATGAGAGTGCATGAGAGTGAGTGAGAGGGAATAAGAGCGTAAGAGAGTGGGTGAGAGGGAATGAGAGGGTATGAGAGTGGGTGAGAGGGAATGAGAGTGTATGAGTGTGGGTGGGACGGAATGAGAGCGTATGAGAGTGGATGAGAGGGAATGAGAGCGTGAGAGAGTGGGTGAGAGGGAATGAGAGCGTGAGAGATTGGGTGAGAGGGAATGAGAGTGTGTGAGAGGGGATGAGAGGGGATGAGAGGGGATGGGAGGGGTTGAGAGCGGGTGAGATTGGATGAGAGTGGATGAGAGCGTATGAGAGAGTATGAGAGTGGTTGAGAGGGAATGAGAGAGTATAAGAGTGGGTGAGAGGGAATGAGAGGATATGAGAGTGGGTGAGAGGGAATGAGAGCGTGAGAGAGTGGGTGAGAGGGAATGAGAGCGTATGAGAGTGGGTGAGAGGGAATGAGAGCGTATGAGAGTGGGTGAGAGGGAATGAGAGGGTATGAGAGTGGGTGAGAGGGAATGAGAGCGTATGAGTGTGGGTGGGAGGGAATGAGAGCGTATGAGAGTGGGTGAGAGGGAATGAGAGCGTATGGGAGTGGGTGAGAGGGAATGAGAGCGTATGAGAGTGGGTGAGAGGGAATGAGAGCGTATGAGAGTGGGTGAGAGGGAATGAGAGCGTATGAGAGTGGGTGAGAGGGAATGAGAGCGTTTGATGGTGGGTGAGAGGGAATGAGAGCGTATGAGAGTGGGTTAGAGGGAATGAGAGCATATGAGAGTGGGTGAGAAGGAATAAGAGCGTATGAGAGTGGGTGAGAGGGAATGAGAGCGTATGAGAGTGCGTGAGGGAGAATGAGAGGGCATGAGAGTGGGTGAGAGGGAATGAGAGCGTATGAGAGTGGGTGAGAGGGAATGAGAGCGTATGAGAGTGGGTGAGAGGGAATGAGAGCGTATGAGAGTGGGCGAGAGGGAATGAGAGCGTATGAGTGTGGGTGAGAGGGAATAAGAGCGTATGAGAGGGGGTCAGAGGGAATGAGAGTGTATGAGAGTGAGTGAGAGGGAAAAAAAGCGTAAGAGAGTGGGTGAGAGGGAATGAGAGGGTATGAGAGTGGGTGAGAGGGAATGAGAGCGTATGAGTGTGGGTGGGAGAGAATGAGAGCGTATGAGAGTGGGTGAGAGGGAATGAGAGCGAAAGAGAGTGGGTGAGAGGGAAAGAGAGGGTATGACAGTTGGTCAGAGGGAATGAGAGCGTGAGAGAGTGGGTGAGAGGGAATGAGAGCGTGAGAGAGTGGGTGAGAGGGAATGAGAGGGTATGAGAGTGGATGAGAGGAAATGAGAGCGTATGAGAGTGGGTGAGAGGGCATGAGAGCGTATGAGAGTGGTTGAGAGGGAATGAGAGCGTATGAGAGTGGATGAGAGGGAATGAGAGCGTATGAGAGTGGGTTAGAGGGAATGAGAGCGTATGAGAGTGGGTGAGAGGGAATGAGAGCGTGAGAGAGTGGGTGAGAGGGAATGAGAGCGTATGAGAGTGGGTGAGAGGGAATGAGAGCGTATGAGAGTGGGTGAGAGGGCATGAGAGCGTATGAGAGTGGGTGAGAAGGAATGAGAGCGTGAGAGAGTGGGTGAGATGGAATGAGAGCGTATGAGAGTTGGTAAGAGGGAATGAGAGCGTATGAGAGTGGGTGAGAGGGAATGAGAGCGTTTGAGAGTGGGTGAGAGGAAATGAGAGCGTATGAGAGTGGGTTAGAGGGAATGAGAGCATATGAGAGTGGGTGACAGGGAATAAGAGCCTATGAGAGTGGGTGAGAGGGAATGAGAGCGTATGAGAGTGGGTGAGAGGGAATGAGAGCGTATGAGAGTGGGTGAGAGGGAATGAGAGCGTATGAGAGTGGGCGAGAGGGAATGAGAGCGTATGAGTGTGGGTGAGAGGGAATGAGAGCGTATGAGAATGGGTTAGAGGGAATGAGAGTGTATGAGAGTGGGTGAGAGGGAATGAGAGCGTAAGAGAGTGGGTGAGAGGGAATGAGAGGGTATGAGAGTGGGTTGCGGAGATTCACTTTACAACGGCAGTGAGCTAGACTACAGGGTTGGCACGAACTACTAGAGGTGATCTCAGCTTTGCTTGGTTCCTTAGTGCTTGCACATTCACAGGAGAAATTGGCAAGAGTTTCCACTAGCAAAGTTGGAATTACAGAATTGAATCAAAGAAGCAATGACAACGATGACTACATCAGGCACCTAGCAACCCTGGAGCTAGCCTGGTCGACTGCCAGCGCAGCTCGGTCGACCGCCTGCCAGCATTGCGTAGAGGAGCCGCGCCAGCACTGCAGAAGGGCGACCTGCCAACAAAGCAGGTCGACGGCGTGCCCCGTAGAACACAGCAGTGCGCGCGCTCGCAGGTGTGCGCAGACCATTGGTCCAACTTGCCTCGTTGGGCATTCGTCGGCTGTTGTCTGCGCCTGACGAGCCACATCGGCCCCTGGTGCTCTGGTCGACTCCCAGGTGCCTCCCGTCGACCACTGGGTCTCTCTGGTCGACCGCCGGATGCTCCTGGTCGACCACACCTCCCGTCAAGCTACCCCTTGGTCGACGGACCCCTTCCGTCGACGAGAACTGCTCCGTCGACCTCCCGGTCGAACTGCAGTTCCACGGGATGCTCCGTAGACCTCCCTGTCGAACTGTAGGTCGACGGACTGCTTCGTCGACCTCCCGGACGGCTCACCCGTTGCCCAGGCCAGTCAGTTGCAGCTGTCGAGCATCCTGGTCGACAGCAACACCACAGCGGTCCGCTGCCGCTCGACGTAACCTGTCGAGCAGCTATCCCACTGTGAACAGTCGGCTGCTACTCCCGTGCATCCGACCAAGTCGTCGGCGTTGCCCAAGCGAGGGCGGGGCCAACACTCCATTCCCGTTAACACTCCCCTGCCGCGCTCACGCTTGGGCCTCCAGCCCACACGGCAGTACTCCACGCAGAAAGCTCGTCCTCGGCGTGCACCCCATACGCAGCACGCCGTCACTGCACCAGCCGTGCAGAAGGGCACGGCACCTACTGCTGCACCTCGTCATCGCCGTCGCCGACGTCCACCAGGCGAACTTGGCCGATGGCGACAGAGCACCGGTTGAAAGCCGGAAAATGCAGCGCCTTCGTCAGGAAATCCGCCCGCTGCTCGGTGGTAGGGATGTAGTTCAGCACAAATTTCCCGCGCCTCACCATGTGCTGCAGCCAGGCGTAGCGTCGCTCCATGTGCTTGAGGTTGCCCGTCAGCCCCAAGCCCTCAGCGACCGTGATTGCCGACTTGTTGTCGACGCGGAGGATGGTCGGCTTCCCAGCGTCGAGCAGCTTGAATTCCGCAAGGAGGAAGCGAAGTCGACGCCCTTCCTTGCCGGCATCCGTGGCCGCCACGTACTCCGACTCGGTCGATGATAATGTCGCGCACTTGATGCGCGAGCTCGACCAGGAGACGGCGGCCCCTCCGTAGACGAACACGTAGCCTCCCGTGCTCGTCCGGTTCTGCTTGTCGCCCGCGTCGTCGGCGTCGACGTAGCCGATCAGCTCCAACGATTTTGGTCCACCGCCGAACTCCAGGGCGGTGTCGCGGGTGTCGGCGAGGAAGGCGAGGCAACGGTCGACCTCACGCCAACGCTGGTCGCTCCTCACCGTGAGGCCGCTCCCCAGCTTGCTGCAGGCGAACGCAATGTCCGGCCTCGTCGTCGTTGCCGCGAACTGCAGCGAGCCGACCTTCTGGCGGTACTCCTCCTCTTCGCGCTCCTGAGCCTCCTCGTCGTCGAACGTCAGATGAACGTAGGCGTCGACCGAGACCGGCGTCTTCGGGACTCGACCGCCTAGCTCCTCGTCGACGAAGCGCCTGCGCAGCTTGTCGGCGTAGCCCTGCTGGTGCAGCCACAACTTCCTGGCCGGCCTGTCGCGCACGATCTCCAGCCCAAGGTACTTTTCTACCGGCAAGATCTCACGCAGCTTGAAGGCAGCCTCCAGCAGCTCCTTCAGCTCCTTCAGCATCGCGGTGCTGCTGCTAGCGGCGAGCAGGTCGTCGACGTAGACCAAAACCCAGCAGGTCACACCGTCGTCGCCGGTCTTGAAGTAGAGCGCCTCGTCGACCTGGCTCTTCTTCCAGCCAGCGCTTAGCAGCACACCGTCAAGAGCCCTGTACCACAGCAGCGGCGACTGCTTCAGCCCGTAGAGGCTTTTCAGCAGCTTACACACCCGGCCGGTCCCGTCGTCGAAGTAGTCCGGCTGGTACATGTAGAGCACTCTGTCGAGCTTGCTCTGCAGGAAAGCGTTCTTCATGTCAAGCTGCATCAGGTTGAGGTCGAGGACGGCGACTATGCTGAGGAAGATCCTCAGCGTGCCCTTTACGACCAGCCTCGCCAAATATAAAAATCTAGTGAGCTAATAAGGTTCGAAAGGAATCTAATGCATATGTATATGGAAAATGGTGCATTGGCCAAGTCGGTCAATATGGGAACTTAGAATGCAAATGCCTGGGAGAACGAAACCGCTCAGATCTCGCATAGTACACGGAATCTAGTGGTCTCACTCAAATATAAGGTAGGAAATATATTAATTGAGTGAACGTAAGGGTTTGAAAGGTAACTAACGCACATGTGTGGAGAAAATGGTCCATCGGCCAGTCTGGCCGGCATTTCGCACTTATAGTGCAAGTGGGGCCAAGGAGAACGGAAACGCTCGTTTCTCAAAAAGTAGAGGGAATCTAGCGGTCTCACTTGATCAGAAGGTGGGAAATATATAAATATAGTGAGCTCATAAGGTTCGAAAGGAATCTAATGCATATGTATATGGAAAATGGTGCATTGGCCAGGTCGGTCAGTATGGGAACTTCTAGTGCAAATGCCTGGGAGAACGGAACCGCTCAGATCTCGCATAGTACACGGAATCTAGTGGTCTCACTCAAATATAAGGTAGGAAATATATTAATCGAGTGAACGTAAGGGTTTGAAAGGTAACTAACGCAGATGTGTAGAGAAAATGGTGCATCGGCCAGTCTGGCCTGCATTTCACACTTATAGTGCAAGTGGGGCCAGGGAGAACAGAAACGCTCGTTTCTCAAAAAGTAAAGGGAATCTAGCGGTCTCACTCGATCAGAAGGTGGGAAATATATAAATGTAGTGAGCTAATCGCGCTCGACGGTGTCGTCGATGCGGTACTTGGTCGTCAGCACCCATCGGTTCTTCATAATGTTCACCCCGCGTGGGCGTTCGACCAGCTCCCAAGTCCCCATAGCGATGAGGCTACGGATTTCTTCTTCCATGGCGGCCTTCACCGCCTCGCCCTTCCAGCTTGACAGCGCCTCCTTCACCGTCATCGTGGCGATGTCCCAGCGGTGTTCGGGGTCGGCATGCACGTCGGGGTCGAGCTCCGGCAGGTCTTCATCCTCCTCGGCATCGTCGTACAGCAGGTCGTCGTCGACCTCGTCGTACACCGTGGTGAAGGCAGCTGGCGGTAAGCAGGCGTGAAAGCTCAACCGCTCCGGCGGCCGTCGAGCTCGACCTGAGCGACGCAGCTCAGGCTTCGTGATCGGTACTTCCATCACGTCGCTGTCGGTGGACTCCTCACCCGCCGATAGCTCCCCTTTCGTTTCAAGTAGAACGTCGTCGACCAGCTGCTTCGACCCTTCGACCGGCTGTTCCTCTGCTGCTACCTTCGACAATTCTCCTGTCGACCGCTCCGGCTGCCGCTCCCCTATCGAGTGTACCCCTGCCGATGGCTCCTCTTCGACCGGCTCCCCTGTCTTCGACGGCTTTCCATCGTAGTCATCGAGCTTGGCGCCTTGTCGTCCGCCGGCGATGCCACTGGCCGGCGCTACAGGCGACGCCTCCTGGCTCCCCTCATCGTCGGTGGCCGACACAGGTGTCGGCGCAGGCAGATCGGCGACGGGAGACGGAGGGGCAAGAACAGGGGGAGGTGGAAGGACCGCCACAGCATCTTCATCAGCAGGCTCGTCGACTTCGGCGAGCAGGGGAACCGTCGTCGTCGAGGTGTCCGTCGGCGGGTGCGCCTGCGTCCGCTCCGACGCCGGCCCATACTTCGCCTTCCACACCTCCAGCGATAGCGTCTCATAGAAGATCACCTCGACCGACGTGACCATCTTGTTGTCGGTCAGGTCGAGCACCTCCCAGCCCTTGCTCGCTGGCGACACGCCCAGGTGAAGTCCCCAGCGAGCCTTCGGCGCCAGCTTTCCACCTCGTTGCTGCTCGGGAACCATGAACTGCACCATGCAGCCCCACACCCGCGCCAGCGTAAGGTCGGGCCTCTGTCCGGTCAGCAGCTGGTACGGAGTCGTCCCCGGCGGCGTCGTCGACCGCTCCAAGCAGTTGCGCACCCAGACAGCTTGTCGTAGAGCCAGGTGCCACCAATGGTGCTTCACGCCCATGTGCAGCAACATCGTCCGCACGGACTCGACGGCCGTACGCATCTCCCGCTCGGCCATGCCATTCTACTGCGAAGTGTAGGGGCACGTCAGGTCGTGGACGATGCCCTTCCCGTCGACGAAATCGGTGAACGCCTTCCCGAGGAATTCCCCCCCTCGATCGGAGCGAAGCGACAGAACCGACTTCTTCGTCTGTCGTTCCACAAGCACCAGCCACTTCTCGAACTCCCGCAGCACGTCGCTCTTCTTAGCGACCGGCATCGCCCATTCAAATCGAGTATGGCGATCCTTCAGCAGCAGGAAGTACAAGCTGCCGTCCTTTGCAGCCACCCGAAATGGCCCGCACAAGTCAATG